GCCTGCGCTCCGGGGTCGGGAGCGGGCTGTGCGGGCCTGGTTCCGCACCTTGGGAAGCCGGTGCGCGGGGGTCCGGGCCGGTTCTCTCAGGTGCCACCCGCCCAGATTTGAGGAAGGGCATCTCTGCCCTCCTACTGCCGACAGAGGCGGTTTTACTTCTCCAGATCCACACTTCAAAGAGAGCGTTACCAGAGTTTAAGAATAAAATTACTTTAACTTACTGATAGACTTAAAAAACGTATCTGCTTCATCCCTCGGTACCCTGTGGGTTCAGAGCACTAAACAGCCCGGATTTGGGGTTTAGTTACCTTGCTGAAGAGTTTGAGGTTATCATTTCTGGGCAAACACTGTATACTGTCATGAATTAAGTAGCCAAAGATGATTTGAAACTCACCGTTGTAATTTATGACAAATAAATAGCTCCTGTATTTTGCAGAATCAATGTCATCCAAGTTAGTTTCTCCTCGTGCTTTATGTTCCTTTGTCTTCTTAAGTTCTTGGCTGCCCCAGACGGTTCCATGCCGAGGAAGTCACTGGCAGACTTCACTGCTGGCATTCCGGGCATCTGTCCCTGTGAGGTGAGTACAACTACCATGGGGTGACACAGAAGTGTTTTCATCATTCAGGGAACACAAATTTTCCCAAGTCCAAGTTAACTTTTAACTATAGATGTTTCCTTCTAAGTCACTATATGTAAAAATAGTTAAGAAGTGTTGGCTTCTTGAGGAGAGTTTAATGGTAACCTATAAAATTACAGCTTTATGCTTGTGTGTAGTTGTATTTGCTTCCTCAATCACAGAATGTGGTTGGAGATGCTCAGGTTTAAGCTGTGTTCCAGAATTCCCTTTTGAGCAATCATCGAAATGAAAGCCTAGCTGAACCGAAAATACTTTACTGTAAAGTGGTGTACCGGACAGCCCACATGCAGGTATATGTTATGGTTTGGTATCTGTGTTTTGATGCAGCTAGACTTAAAATAGCCTGGTAGCTATTAGGTACCATCAGAGAGACTGTTCCACACCGTAAAGGCTGTTTGTTCCATCTGCAAGGCAGGAATGATCTCCCACGTGTCCATTGCAAGGATTTAACGGTGTTTTGTGGAGCATGGCATACGTTAGCTCAGGAATACTGGATCTGTGTGGAGAAGTACGATGAGAGAGTAATATCTGCCTCTTAAATTTGGTTCCAAATGTGGAAATTTTAAAAGCATGTGTAAAGTCACCCACTCTCTTCTTTAATGTGAGATGACAGGAAAATTTGCAGATAAACCTGTTACCTGCTCTGCTGCACTCTGAGCTAGTGCAAAACAATTCCAGTTCAATTTTTCTGGAACTTCCTCAGGTCATTCTGATGTTCAGCACAAATTGAAGGTTGTTTTTCTCAGGCAAGTACAGTTCTCTCTGCAGAAAATTTCCCAAGACATATTACTGTCTCCTGGAAATTACATTACATAAAGCTAGTGGCCGGAACTTCTATTAGGGACCAAATTAAGCAATGGGAAGGAACAGTCCTTAGAAAAGTAAGGTGGAAGCAAAAGCTGCTGGTGTTGAATTAAGTGACAAAATATCTTCTTTCATTCACATAATTATTTCCTTTGTAGAGCCCAACCAAAGAAGAAGAAGAAAGTGGATGTAAAGAGAGAACAAGCACAGAAGGATCGTATGAAAAAGAAGATTAAAAAGTTGGAAAAAGCTGCCCCAGAATTGATTCCAATTGAGGATTTTATAACACCACTTAAGTACTCGGGTAGCAGCAGGTAAGCAAGACTGTCTTTCACCATGCGCTTGCATTCATGGTTTCTGATTTCTTTCTCTGCAAAACTGCAGTGCGGTGCCAGCCTTCCTACAAAACCTTATCTACTCATACCAGGACAAAAATGTAGAAAGAAAATTTTATTTGTTCCTGCTAAAAGTAGTAAAAGAATAGTAACATGAGTTTCCTGATAGAATGACCATGGAAAACCTCATGGACGTTGCTTGAATGAAATGCATTCTTTGGGTTTGGCGGGGGTTTTCTTTTTTTTTCTTTTTAATTTGCTCTTTGGGGTGCAGGCTATTTCTCCATTACAATTTTATCTTATTCTTTATCAGGGTGCGAAGTCTTCCCCCTCTGTCATTTGAAGAGAGTGAGAGAAGAGTTTTACTTTTGAAAAAGTGGTGTTTGTTTAAGCAGAAACAAGACAAGGCAGAAAAGGAAGCAATTCAAACCCTTGTAGAAGCTCAGCAAGAGGCACTAAAGGAACTGCGCCTTGAATCCGAGGAGCTGTATCAGGCAGCCATCAGACGAGATGAGGGGCTTTTCCCCTTTGAGAGAGATGGACCTAATTATACCCCACCACTTCCTGGTTATGATCCTCCCGAAGGAAAATGCGTTGATATCACCAAAGTGTATACGCAGTGATGTCGTTCATCTGGCACGAGCTACTTTGAAGGATGATAGAGTGGAATAAGAATACGCAATTCCTTCTGCAGGTTAAAATACTGTAGGTGTGTGACTGCAAAAAAAGATATTAATGAAGTATCTGTTTGTTTGGGTTTTTTAAATGGCTATCTAGGTAGTAAGACACCCGAGAAAGCTACACTATACCTTACTCTTGTGCCATGCCACAACAAGCTAGAGCAGCAGTATTTTACAGAGTATTTTGTCTTTCTGGGCTTGTATCTCCCATCCCTCCATACACTCTGGAGCAGCACTTTTTTTTGTTCTGCATAAACCATAACCTGTGTTGTGTTAAAAAGTTAATTTGGAGTGATGCCCAATTCGTCATTTTAAGCCACGTCGCATTCAGTGTAGTGAACTGTCACGATTACAGAGGCACAAATAACGTGGTACAGCTTCAGTCCAGTCACATTCCATCAACTAGCGTGGCCATACTTAAAGAGTTTGGTTGCATTCAGTGAGAACTATCATGGCTAGAATAATGAATAGGGCGGTTTATTAAAGCAACAGATACACAGGTTCTTTTGGATTGCCGGTAATAAATTCACTGCCTGCAAAGCACGTGCAAATACCAAGAGTATGAGTAACACTGCCTGGCTACAAACGCATTAGAAGACATAAAGCAACTCTATAGAATAGATTTCTAAATTTCCCAGGGAGGCACTTCATATAACCAAGTGTTTGAATCTTACCCAAAGGCATCCTGATGCAGGGGAAGAGAGGCTGAGCCCCTCGACTGATCCCTGAAGTCAGAGTGGTACGCAATGGTATCTTCCCTAACATCCTCCCTCTATTAAGCCATTTTATATTATTTTTTAACTCCACCAAGGTGGAGCTTGAGTGACTCAAGTCACACATACCTTTGTTACGATTGGTGTAAAATTTTCTCGCTTTGCTTTTAAAGGTATAAACTAGAAAAATTCAAAGCGCAAGCTCAGTGAGGGGTGGTTGCACCTTGGAGGCGGGTAGCTTTTGGGATGGACGTGTGTTTTGGTGTTAAAATGAGCAAAGTTTACCAAAGGACAGCATTTTGTCAAAAACACAACAGACTGTTGGCCCAGGGTGGCAAATATGGAGCTTATCGGTTCTGTGGTACCTTCAAGTTCCCATATTATCACAGAGCCTGGCCCTGGTGTCTCCACTCCACCCTCCGTGCAGTTCCTCTTAAGAGTCAGCACACCAAGCTGCCCTGGTGTTGCCAACATCTAAGGTTGCAGGCCTAGGGAACTTCCATGGAATGGATTCCTTGCATGTCAGCCGCACACAGCCTTGGAAGCTTCTTCAATGCTCTACCTTTCCTTAGAAATTAAACTTATATTTTAAGTCAATTATTCCACACTATACTATGAGGAAAGAATGTCATGGTCATCACATCAGAGTCCGCGCTATAGGGGAAGTAGCAGCTGACTCTTTACTGCCTTTCTTTTCAGACTGCATTGAAGTACTTTTCCATGTAAGAGGGAAAACACATGGAAAGCATACCATGACAAAGCCAAAATTAAGTTGTGGGGCTTTTTTATATTGCCATGTATCATAACTAAGTTTCAAAGGGTTTGCCATAAAACAAAACATATCTCTCTTCAGTCATTTAAACCTTTATTTTTGTAGTAATCTTGAATGCTGCCATCGACACATACCACTGTTGAAGAGCAGTTCCACACAGAGGCGAGGTTGCAGTTTCAGGGTCTGTTACATCACCAGGCGAGAAGGTCTTAACCCATGACAACAGTGAATCTCAGAAATGCCTTTTAAATGCCAGCAGTAGTGACTGTCCTGAACAGGCAGGGGGAAGTCACAGCTTGCTTCTGTTCTCCCATCTGGCAGGCCTGGGGTGGGTACCTGGTTCCAAAAGCACGCAACACCGGATGGTACGGGAAGAGGTCCTCATCTAGCAAGAGGAGCTAGATCATGTATGCGCTAATTTGGGAGTCGCCTGCTGAGATGAAATCCTGAAGTGTAAGACAGTACTAAGAGACCAGAATCAAATTAAGCACCTCAATTGTCCCTTTAAAAAATACTGGATGTTTAAATACACTCTCAGTACTTTTTAGAGGGTACTGAAGTATTGCAGGGCAGAGGTACAGCTGTATAATTTCCAGATGACAGGAAAGAAAAAAACCAGCATACTTCTGCATTATGTATTACATTACTGACCAAACACAGCAAAACACTCTTGCTAATTTGGTTTGTCTTGGTCAAGTGGAAGATACCAGTCGGGTGGGGGACTCTTCCTGAGTGTCCACACTGGAGCATATTTCTGTTTTTCCATAACTCGAGCTCTTTCACTCTTGCACAAAGCTTCCTGAAATACAGGGAAAAAAAATACTACCAGGATGGTGTTGGATGTTCCAGTCTTACAGAGCTTATTTCCTGCTGTGACTATCTGAGATAAAACCGAGGAACATAAATTTATCATGCTTAAACAGAAGTGCCAAATGCTACGTAAGTAAGCCAGGATACAAGCTTTTAAAACTATGTCACATTTATATTTTGTCTCGGGCTCTTCCATTATGAAGAATACTACCACTTATGTGCTGCCTTCCCGCCAGAAGTTGTCCTAGTTGGCTGAAAGGATGAGTTACGATGCAGCCTGTGCCGAAGGGCTCTTGTCTTTCAGTGTTTCTGGGCTGTAGCCAGGAGCGTTTCTGGACACCCCAGGAATACTTTTTGCCTGTGACGTGGCAGCTTTTCGTATTAGGCAGGGAATATTGCAGTAACTGAAGTCACGAGCTTTTACAGCAGGACACTGAAAACGCTCCTGCTGGATGTTAAAGACTATCTCACCCGCCTCCACC